GCCACTGTCCTTCAAAATTACTTTCTATATTTGAGCCTAAGTGACAAGTGAAATCTCCTCTGTAATTTCCCATGTGTTCAGTTTAATGAATTTCCGGCAAATGGTTCCAGTATTGGAGGGCCAATTTGGACATGGTAGGGGTGGGGGTGGTGAGAAAATGAGGGGGATGAAAATAGACTAACAAATTGAGTTTAGCAACCAAATGAAGGGGTGATTAAAGGCACGTGAGGAGGGAGCCAAGACCTGGAATTTGCTCGACTCCAAGAACTGGATATTGGTCTTGCTGCAGATGTCACCATGATATCTCCCTGCATGCAACAGAGAGAGCCCAGAATCCCAGAATTTGCAACTATTCTTTGTACCAAGTTGGCTATCATCCGAAGAGCTGTATTTATACACAGAGAGGGCATTAACTTGTTTTGCATGGTACTGAAGACTGAACCTAGGTGCTAGGCAAGCAGTCTACCCCTGAGCCACATCCCTAAGTGCTTTCAAAACTCCTTTAAAACAGGGTCTTTCCAAATTGTCCAGGCTGGCCTCAGACTTGGGATGCTCCTGCTCCAGCCTCCCAAGTAGCTGGGATTAGAGGTGTGTGCAGTAATTTAATTTTAAACATTGGCCTTTGCAGTAGGAAGTGAACACACTTCCTACATGTTTGTGTGCCATAAATGTCGAGCCAAGTCATTATGAGGGACTTGAGTTAGGGAGGAAAGCCAAAGGTACACACTGTACCCCTTGTCATCTGTTTGTGCCGCTGGCCCAAATGCTTTAAATTTTTCCATAGACTGAGCAAGGAGCTGTGAGATGCTATAGATCCAGAATGGAAACTCGGGGCTAGGGATTTAGCGCAGTGACATAAGCGCCTGCCTGGCAAGTGTGAAGTCTTGAGTTTGATCCCCAGTACCAAAAAAAGAAAGAAAGAAAGAGGAAAAAAAAAAAACAGAATGTAAACTCCTTTCTTGAACTCTCAGCCCTCCTGCTTCAGCCTCCTGAATACAAAGAGTCAGATTTGTCCCCCAGTCTCTGGCCTCACCACTTTTCTCTTGCAACACTCACATCATGATGTTATCTACTTTGTCACACAGCCAAGGGGATTGTGTAAATTATATAAAACTAAAATTTTTTCTTGTGGTGCTATGGATTAAATCCACAGAGATGCCCTACCACCAAGCTACATCCCCAGCACCTGCCCCTCTTAGAGAGAGAACTTGCTAATTTGCTCAGGCTGGCCTCAAACTTTTGATCCTCCTGGTTTAGCTTCCTAAGTAGCTAGAATTACAGATGTGTGTCAACACCCCAGCTTTCTTTTTTCTTTTCTTTCTTTCTTTCTTTTTTTATTTAGATGGGGTTCTGTTATATACCCCAGGCTGGCCTTGAACTCACAGCAATCCTTCTGCCCCAGCCTACTTAGTGTTGGCATTATAGTTTTTTTGTTTTTTGAGACAAGGTCTGGCTATCAGTTCAGGTTGGCCTTGAACTCATGGCAATCTTCCTGCTTCAGCCTCCTGAGTGCTGGGATTATAAGTGTTCCCCACCACTTCTGCGCTAATTCTTGAGCTTTCAAAATGTTTTCTTTTCTTTTACTTCTTGTTTATTTTTTTGAGACAAGGTCTTGCCATATAGTGCAGACTGGTGTTGAACTCAGCATTTAGCCCAGGCTGGCCTCAAACTCATGACAATCACCCTACCTCTCCTTCCCAAGTGCTGGGATAACAGGCATGTGCCTCCACACCCCAGCAAGTTCTGCTCTTTTTATAATGACCCATTTTTGCTGGGCACGGTGGTGTACATAGTAATCCCAGCACTCAGGAGGTGGAGGCAGGAGGATTACCTCAAATTGGAGGCCCGTTTGAGCTCTATAGTGAGTTCCAGGCCACCTTGGAATATCTTGTGAGTCTCTAGGTCAAAAAACAACACAAATTCTTGTAAGAGCTAATGGGGCCCCTAGAGAAGTATATTAATCCCTATGGTACTCTCAATAATCTAATCATTTTTTCCTAAATTTACCTCCTAAAGGTTCCAGTACCTCAATACTGCCACACAGTGGACCAAATTTCTAGCACAAGAATCTTTGGAGAATGTGCTGGTTAATCTTGATTATCAGTTTGCCAGGATTAAGAAACCTTTGACAGGTTTGTGGAGTACATTGTGAAATGAATGAGTTACCCCACTGGTAAATTATAATGGATTATTAGAAGGCAGGGCCTAGTTGGAGGAAGTGGGGCCCAGGCATGACCTTACATACTACAGGTGGTCCTTGGTCCCTTCCTCTCAGTCTCTTCCCCTGCTATCTGCTTCCCAGATCCCCAAAGTTGAGAAAATTTCTTCCCCCATGCCCTTTTGCCATGTTTCTGTGTTGGAGTCTACCAACCATGACTGAAAGTATGAATCAAAATAAACCTGTCAGCCGGGTGTGGCAGCTCACACCTGTAATCCCAGCACTTGGGAAGCTGAGGCGGGAGGATCCTTGAGAGGTGGAGGCCAGCCTGGATTGCATAGTGAGACCCTGCCTCAAAAAGACAATAAATAAATAAATAAACCTCTTGCTAGGGATTTAGCTCAGCAGCATAAGCACCTGCCCTTGCAAGCACACAGTCGTGAGTTCGATCCCCAGTACCAAAAAATAAAATAAGAGGCTCATAGTGATGCTCCATTCAAAATAAGCCTCTCCTTTCAGTTGAGGGTATCAAACATTTTGTCCCAGTCACTTAAAGCTGACCAATACAGGGAGTAACAACAGCCAAACCATAGCTAATATGAATGGAATCAAACAATATACTGTTTTTCTGATTGGCTTAACTTAATGTAATGTTTTATATATATATTTATTTTTTGTCTTTTTCCTTTTTTATCAGTACCGGGGATTGAACTCACGACTGCCTGCTTGCAAGGCAGGCGCTTATGCCGCTGAGCTAAATCCCCAGCCCCTAATGTAATGTTTTCAAGATTCATTCAAATTGAAATGTGAGTCAGTACTTCATTATTTTTTATGGCTGAATAAATTCCATTGTATGAATATACTACATTTTATTTATCTACTCATCAGTTAATAGACATTTGGCTTGTGTTTGTTTCCTTGCTTGTTTCTGAGATAAGAGCTCATCATGTAGTTAAAGCTGCTTTTGAACTCACTGTGTATCCCAGGCTGGTCCCCAAGCCAGGTAAGCTGCCCCTGACCTGTGCCCAGGTACATCTAGTATTTAGCATTCTTCCCCCTAGGCTGTAAGTACTAGGCAAGCAGGAATCTACTGTAGGGCCTTATCAGTGGCAACAAGTTGTGGCTCATGTTAGATGCTCAGTAAGTGCTGACCAATTGACTAAAAAATTGTTAAATATTTCTCTAATTGTGGTTCCTGTTCAAGGAGAAAAAAGACTAATCTCATGGGCAAAAGATATCAAGAAAGGTGCAAGAAGGAAAGGGTAGGTGTAAGAGAAAGGGCAAGGCAGGCAAAAAGTATGGTGTCCCCAATTGGTGTCACTTGGGACCAGACTTAGGTCAAATTCAGAACAAATAGATATGTCCTCATCCTTTACTTTTCTAGATATGTTTCCCTTTTTTATTTATTCTTTGGAATTTTGAAACAAAGTCTCACTACGTAGTTCAGGCTGGTCTTGAACTTACTTTGTAGACCAACCTGGGCTCCAACTCACAGTGATCCTCCTGCCTCAGCCTCCTGAGTGCTGGGATTACAGGAATGCACAACTGTGCCTGGCTCCCTTTTAAAAAAATTTTGTATTCCTGACAATTTGGTGTTTGAGGGCATAAGAAACAAAAATATTAGAAAAATGTTGATATTATAAAGAAAAGAGCACATAAATGAACCCCTACCATGGATTTAGAATTTAAAACAATAGAGGTAAAAAATGTTGACTATAAAGGATCTTTTAACTAGGAAAAGAAATCATAATCTAGGCTTCCTTCCATAAGACAACTAGATGGCCTTTATTTAAAATAGGAGACCACATTTTCAGAATGAGGACATGATTTACTCACAGTCTTATTCATGATGGCTAGCCTTCCCTTCCACATAAATCCTACCTAGACTAATCTGTGAATCCTGTCATCACCAGGTTTTTAGTTCTAATCTCCCCAGAGGTTCTCATCTCTCCCTGTACTCAATTATTTCTTGACTCTTCTCTGAAATCATACATATACATGTTTACATAAACACACACACACACACACACACACACACACACACCTAGCTTTCCTTTTCATGAATCCTCAGGGTAGCTCTGCCTTCTCCACTTAGTGTGTTTGGAAGGAGAGATAGCAAAATATATGGGAAGGCAATGCAGTTTTTCCTTTCACAGAGCTCTGCAGGACAATTATCCACCCAATCTGCTCCACTTTATAGCTCTCATAACCCTCCTTTATGAATACATTGTGACAGCCGGATGTGGCACTGATTATGGCAGCAGCCTTCAGCCAGATTCCTATTTAACTGCAAGGCAGAGCTCTTGCCTACCAGTCCAGCAATGAGTAATTTTAATTACTGTATTTATGTAAGTGTTTTCCTAACCAGAGTCTGTGTCCAGCTCCATTAAAATTGCGGAGGATTTGTGCTTGCCACTTCTCAAGTGGGTCTTTGGCCTATAACCTAGGGTCTTTTGTTGGAACCAGTTTGGGCTCTGAGGTTTTTCAGGAGAGGTCTGCAAGGTTTGGAGTGCACAGGAAGCACTGTTTTGTTTTTTTTTTTTTTTTCATTAGGAGAGAGCTGAAAAAACAGATAACAAAACATGTTGGCAGATGCCAAGGGTTAGGTTCTAGCCAGACAATAGTGCCAGGTGCACTAGATTAGTAAACATCGGTAGGATCCCAGGGGAAAGGAGTTGGAAAGGGGAGAGTTTTAGAATCTAGAAAATTACAAAATACATTTGTAATACAAATTACAAAATAAATTTGAGGGTAGGCTTTTCCCCTCTGGGCCCCAGTGTCACATAGTGACTTTACCTAGTGGAAAAAGGTATCTTTAGTGTTCAAAAGAAATCTTCCTAACCTGACAGTCTGTCCAGACCAAGGATACGAAGCCGATTGTGCCTTGCAGAGAAAGCCTGCATTCTTTAGCGCTGCAGCTCAATTAAGGATCTCACTGCAGAGAATCAGGGATGCAGTCTGCAGGGTCAGGCAACAGGGCTGTTTCTGGAAAACCTCCTGGAAAGATCCCGAGGACAGGACCAAGGTGACCTGTGTGGATGGGAGATCCATTAGCCAAGTGACAGCACTACTACAGAAAGAAGATCAGGGTGGAAAGCGCGAAAGCGTGGGACAGGCTTACAGCAACTCAAAGCTGTCACACATGTGCAAGAAACCCGCACCCTGGCTGCACTCTGAACTGGCAGGCCGTCACCGTATCTCTAGAACACTCTCAAGGTTCTCTCTTCAGTAGTTTTAAAACTATGATGCCTTCAATCCATGATGCATAAGAATCAGGACAGCACCGCCCTGCTTTTGCCCACCTTGAGGCTCTGTTGCTAAGGCGCCAACACACACCTTCCCTCCAGCTCCGGCACTTTAAACCCCGCCTTTCCTGGGCGGGGCTTGTGCCCGGGCCTGTGTGGGCTCCGCCCATCGACCGATGCGGGGCGGGGCGGGGCGGGGTTCCCCTCGCCTCCCGACTGCCCTTTCACCTGCGGCCTCTGAGCAGGCTGGTTCGCTCTGCGGAGCTCTGGACGCGTGCGGGTGAGATGGGTCCGCCGGCGGGAGGCGGGAGGCGGGAGGCGGCAGGCGGGAGGCGGCAGGCGGCAGGCGGCAGGCGGCAGGCGGCAGGCGGCAGGCGGCAGGCGGCAGGCGGCAGGCGGCAGGCGGCAGGCGGCAGGCGGCAGGGGTTTATTCTCACGGGGTGGGAACAAATGTGGGCCCGGGACGCAACTGAGGTTCGCTTGTTTGTGACCTCAGGCTTGGGCTTGGAAAGCATCTTAAAGAGACTGGAAATTTGAAGGCCCAGAGTAGCCCCGCTGTGCTCCACTGTCCCGTTTTCTCGCAGGGGATTCATCTCATCCCCGACTCCGGGACCTCTGGTCTCAGGCGCCAGGGGCACACGCTGCACTTGGGAAGGTTGTGAGGAGCACGTGTCTGGGTGGAGTTGGGTCAGCCTCGGCCCAAGGCCTGGAAAGGACCCAGGCCAATGATAGATAATGTTTCCAGACACAAACAATGAATCCTCTATTATGCTCTCGTTCCTCTAAAATTTTGGAGGAGATTATGGGTGAAATATTTGAAAATGACAGGGGAAAGATATGGGCTTAGCTAGCCTAACCTTAAATAAGTATGGTGAATTATGATGGTGAATGTGTAGATACGTTTGTTAACAAGTTTTTGTAAGCCTGTTGGTTATTGCATCCTTTTTTGCGGTACTAAATTGCACTCGAGGCCTTCCCACTGAGCTACATCCTCCTGCCCACCCCCCTTTGTCTGCCACTGTTTCTGTATCTCTGGCCTCACAAGCTATTACATGTGCTTTCTAAACTGCTGGCTGTTTATAACCTGGAATGCTTTGATTGCAGGAATGATCAGTGTTGGGCTTCAGGTAGATGAGACCCCAGGTAAGTACAACCCATTGCACCCCATTTGTGCCCCAGTTGTAGGCAGCTGCCTAGGTTGCTGTGTACCTGGGCACGTGTTACACTGCTGGGAGAACAGCAGCAAATAGCTGGTTGGCATTCTGGACCTGGTTCATGACACTTTTGTGTTAACTATTCCAGGATGTCAGCATAGTTCTTTATCCAGTAAGGTTAAATCTGTAAGAGGATAACTTTTGCAGGAATAAACCTAAAGTCCTTACCTTTCTGAGTGGTTCTGGTCTAACAGGTTTGACTAGTATGTATAAATTTATCTTGTGGACCATTGTTGACCCCTGATTGACATGTTTTGAAGTTTTGTGGTTTTTAGATTTGAAGGAAAAAAAGCAATACAGTGCCCAAATCGGGGAGGGATGTGTAAATAGAAAGAGAAAAATCACAAGTTTTTTAATGCCTATGAAGCACTTAAAGAGTCTGATACAGGAAGAAGTTTCATTGAAATCAAGAAACATGGATTCCATTCTCCCAGTGGTTAAAGAATTTCATAATTGAAATTCTCCATGGGGTACCCAGGTACCTCCTCTGGTCATGACAGCACTAGCTATGACAGTAGGAATTTGGCTTCGATATGAAACCAGGCCACCCACAGACAGACCCATAGTCTTCATACACCACCACTTATGTCTAGAAACACACACCCTGGTCTCATCTGGCTATGCAGTACTTCTGCCTGTGCTTGCCTCCTCACCAACTGGCCTGAAACCTGTACTCTTAATTTTCCTTTGCCCAAAAATAGACATAGTCTCTGGAGACCAGGCCCTCCCAATTCCTCCTGCCCCACATCAGATTGCAGTTAGACATAACTTGGACCCTGTAATGATCCCCCTGTTGGTGGCACTGGCATCACTTGCTTTCCAGTCCCTCTCCGGACCTCACTGAGAGTCTAAAGGATCTTCCCAACTCTATTACAGGTTTACAAAAGGAGTTAGACTCTGGCCACAGTTACCTTACAAAAGTGGAAAGCATTAATTATACATAACTGCGGAAAAAGAGGAACATGTGTTTTTCTTGGAGAAAAATGCTATTTCTATGTCAATAGATCTGGAGTCCTCTTTCTGGCAGTCACAAACCTCCAAAATCACATCAGAAGGCTAGATAAAAACACCCCCATCACAGCTAACAGCTTCTGGCCTTTCTCCTGAGGATCATGGGCCCTCTGCACATAATTATCATGATCCCCCACTCTGAACCCTGTTTAATAAAATTAAACCAACTTCATTCAAAGCCAAGTCCAGGCCTGTCATGATGGCACATTCCTATAATCACAACACTCGGGAGACTGAGCGGGAGGATTGCTGGGAGTTCAAGGCCAGTTTGAACTGCATAGCAAGACCCCAAATAGGGCAGGGAGTTTAGCTCAGTGGCATAAGCACCTGCCTTACAAGAGCGTGGCAGTTTTGATCCCCAGTACAAGAGGGGGGGGGGGAATAAATACTCATTAAGCTAACTGTGGTGGCGCATGCCTGTAATCCTAGCACTCAAGAAGCTGAGGTAGGAGGCTCCTTGCAAGGTCAAGACCAGCCTGGGCTACAAAATGAACTCAAGGCCAGCCTGAACTGCATACAGAGACTCTGTCTCAAAAGGGAAAAAAAAGACCCCAGAAAAAGCCAAGTCCAAACTGCAACAGCAAGAGAATTTTTAATGACCTATCAGTATACAGCACTCCCACAAGACTGGCACTGACCTCTAATAACTTTACTCTGGTGCCTTTTTTCCAACAGGATGCCCACACATCCTGCTATGCTTGTAGTAGCCATGAGAAACTATTCTTTTTTTCTCATAACAGAAAGGCAGGGATGTCAGATACCATCCATCGCTATAGGGGCGTGAAGATAATAGGAAGACAGACTGAGAACAAGATAAACAAGCACCTGCCCCATACACCTTCACCTGAAAACTCAGATACTGCCAAAACCCACAAGGCTCCCTCTCCCAAACCTAGCTTCAAAATTTTTCACTCCTCCCCGCCAGACTCCCTCTACCATAAAACTTTCCCACCCAGTGCTCAGCACCAGTGGCCTTATCGCCCTTGGCCTACCTCTGTCCAGGTTGAAACAAACTTGGCTCCTGCTTCAGCCTCACCTAACTCCCTGGCCTCAGTTTACCATAACAGTAGTAACCAGTGAAATCTATAGGAAATACTCAACTTCTACGTGTCCTTTTAATTGCTTGTATACTACAGTAATTACGGAATTTTGTTTTGAGTCAGGGTCTTGCTATGCAGTGCAGATTTGCCTGGAACTCACAGCTGTCCTTTCTAAGCCTCTCAAGTGCTAGGATTACAGGCACATGCCAACATGCTTGAATGGAGGATACTTTCTAAATACTAGCAAGTTTAAAATAGATTATGCTTTGTTATTACACACACTACTTTGTACAATAGATCACTAAAGCTTTTCTTGCTTTTCTTTTTAGGATATATAAGAAGCAGTATTCTTTGCCCTCCTGAAGAGAGGACATAGTGGGTAGGCTGCACATGGAGTTTTCAGCTAAATGTCCTTTCAGGTAAATGACTGCCTCTTCTGTGCCAGCGCTGTTAGCTACTTTGTATCCATCCGGAAACAATTGGGAAGCATTTGTATCTGCTTCTAACAAATTTAGTCTCTGGAAATTGAAAGTAGAATTTTGGTGAATGATGTAAAGTAAGATTTGGAGATTTGCTGTATTCCATCTGACAAATTGTACAGGGAGATTGTAATTTCATGAGGGAAAGAATAGTATATCAATGTTAGGTTGCCAAGCCCAGACTGAATTTCGGGCAAAACTACAGAAAGCTTGGTCAGCTTGAGACTGATGATCCTTGTATCTATGTCTCCCTCCTGCTGGGATGCCTGTAATCTGAAACAGTTGAAATATGTGTTTTGGAAATAATCCAGCAGTTGTCAGCTATCTGGGCTAGTCTGATGCCCATGATTGTGTTACACTGTTGGGAGAGCAAGCGCTGTCTTCATCAAGGTTGGGTGTCACAAGCTGTTTTAGTGTTGTGGCCCAGTGCCTTCGGGCAGCGTTTTGTACTTCTGAGAGTGGACTGGCTCCTGCTGTGGAGTTGATCCTAGTCTGGGTACAAACATTTTGTATTAGAAAAGGACTTCTGAGAGCTAGGGGTCTAGTTCAGTGGCAGAGTGCTTACCTTGAGTAAACACAAAGCCTTGAGTTAATCTTTAGTACCTTGGGGACACTTGTAGGAGCAGCCTATGACCCTTTATCTCCTTTAACCCTAGATACCTTCATGTGAATGAGGACCCTGCCTCCATTGGGACTTCAGATGTCTGACAGCCCTGTGTCACACTGAGCAATGTATGTAGTCCTTTTGTCATGTAGGTTCTAATTCTATTATATTAATATATGTGTTGCTGAATAAGTACCCCCGTTATATTATTGCAGCTTAGATTACAGAGAATCCAAGTTCCAGAAAAAAATGTTCAGAATCTAAAGTCCAGCTGTCATTTCCCAGAGCTTGTATACTTGTGCACTATATGTATGACTAAGTTGATACAAATTAAATCAGTTTTTTAATCCCAGTGTCTGGCTGTCTAGTGACTACTATATAAGACAGCTCAGACATATAGCCAATATAGATCATTTATTATGTGTCGGCCTAGAGTGGAGGTAGGATATACTTCATATATATAATGAGCAAGATAGAAATATTAGATTTATGCAGCCGTGTAGTATTTGCAATTAATTTGCAGGTGAAACATGAAAGACAGCTGGGTATGGTGGCTCACTCCTGTGACCCCAGCACTGTGGGAGGCTAAGGCAAGAGAAAAGCAAATTCAAACCCAGCAGGGACAAATTAGCAAGACCCTGTCTCAAAAAATTAAAAAGGGCTAAAGATATAGTGCATGTATGTTGCAATAAAACGTTTAAATTTCTTTTTTTTTTTTTTTTTTTTTTTTTGGTCTTTTTCCTTTTTATGGTACCGAGGATCGAACTGGAGACTGCCTGCTTGCGAGGCAGGCACTTATGCCGCTGAGCTAAATCCCCAGCCCCTGATCCCAGCACTCTTGAGGCTGGATGATCACTATGACCTGAAGGCCAGCCAGAACTGCACAGTGACACTGTCTCAAAAAAAAAAAGAAAAAAATTCTCCGAACATTTTTATAGTTGAAAACCATTTTTTTCCTGGGGTCTTTCAAAACTAGATAGCAGGATAGATTGGCTGGTGGACTGTGATTCCCAACATCTTCTACAGAATAAAATTCAGGTCCTGAAAGTTGAACAGCTCAGTAGTAGCAGATATGGAGCAGTGCCAAAATGACCGCTAGAAGTTCTCTGTTATATTACCTTTGCCTTAGAGTCTTCCCTTCTTTTACAGTTTTTGTTGTTGTTGTTGTTTGTTTTGTTTTTTTGTTTTTAGCTATGCAGTTTAGCTAGCCATGGGCTCACTTTGTAGCCCAGGCTGGTCTTGAATTTGCAATGATCTGCCTGCCTCAGCTCCCAAATGCTGGGACTACAGGAGCGTATCATCACATCCAACTGTGCACTGAGTTTTGTTGTGCTTGGTTTTGATTCTTTGAGAGTCTCACTACGTAGCCCAGGCTGGCCTCGAATTCATGGCAGGCCTTCTGCCTCAATTTCCCAGCTGCTGGGATTACAGGCATGTGCCCAGTGTATGACAGAGTTTTGAACCCAGGGCTATACTCTACCACTGAGCTATAAACCCAGTCCTCAGGACGGTGATTTAGCTCAGCACACAAGCACTTGCCTGGCAAGAGCAAGGTCGTGAATTCAGTCCCTAGTACCAAATAAATAAATCCAGCCCTCCATAGAGTTTTAAATCTGGAGTCTGTGTTCCTTGAGTGCTCCAGGCCTCCCTAACCACACTAGGGCTCTCATGTTGAAAGAAAGATTCCTGTGCTCCTACTTAAAAAGGGGTGATTCCTTCAGTGTTTGTGTGTCTGTACTTCAGTGCCCCAAGAGTTTTCAGTGGCATAATCATGCACATTAAAGTAATTTAGTGGGATTTCCGAATTGATGGCGTGAAGTTAATGAGTCACCTCCTTATCCCTATTGACTTGATTTTCTTTCCCTTTTTTTTTTTTTCTCTCTAGCAAAGAAACATGTCCTGGTGAGTATAAGAAGACGGAGTAAAATTCAATATAGCTTCTTACTCATCTCTATCCTTCCATGTTGCAATGGAAACAAATTAGCCTGGTAGGGTTTACTGGTCTAAATGTACAAGCTGCCAACTGTAGAAATAAACACAAATACCTTCTTTATACTGGTGACCAAATTTTAAGAGTTCAGTCCCATTCTACATTAAAAGGGAAAACACTAAAGGTAGATGGAGGGTGCAATTAATAAGTGCTGTGACATGTATCATTTTATGTCATTTCTTGATGGATTCAAGGGAGTTAGTGACTGAAGTTTTTTTGTTTGATTTGTTTTGAGATAAGGTCTGATAGTCCAAACTGATTTGACGTACAATGTATAGGCCAGGCTGAGCTCTAATTCAGCAGTCCTGCCTCAGCCTCCCATGTGCTGGGATTACAGGGATGCATCACCATGCCTAGTGGAAGGATGTTTTTGCATTGAAATTTTGGATCATGTCTCACATTTCAATCAGGAAAATAGAGCCCAGAGGGATAAATCCTGCAAACCCCAAAAGGACATGAAAAGGTAGCTAAGTGCCTAGGAATTTACACAAAGGAAAACTGCCTGCTATGAGCAACTAATTAAGAACTTAAAAAGAGTTACAATGGCTCCTGTGAATCTTGTTGCTTAATTAGGACTTTATGAACAGCTCTAGTTAATGGACCTGTCAATATTCTCTTGGAAGACAGTTTCACTGAATTAACAAATTAACTGTAATACTTAAAATCTTTGCTTAGCAACATTCTTTCTCCTGTTACTTAGGAAAACTTATAATGAGCAAACTTATTAGATCATATATTTGTCAATTAAGAAACCTAATACAGGCTCAAAGGAATATAGTATTTATTTGGCTTGCTTGTCTAGTAAACGCTCTTTGGGGTATGAGAATGTCCTGTGTTGCTTATTAAAGCATTCTTTGAGAAAGAGGTGATAAAATAAATTATTTTAACATAGTGTGATTTTTTTGTTGTTTTTTTATGTGTATGTGCAGTTTTTGGCTTGGTTTTGGGTTTGGTGTGGTTTTGTTTTGAGACAGGGCCTCAATATGCAGTTCAATCTGGCCTCAAATTTGCAACAATTCTCCTGCCTCAGCCTCCCAAGTGCTGCCCTTGGAGGTGTGCACCACCACACTTGGAAGCAGGATTTTAGATTTACAAAAAATTTAGGAATATGGATTCAGCCATATTCAGAATTCCCATGAAAGACATACGCATTTTACCCTAATTGATGCTTTATATTAGTATGTTGTGATTGTTCACTATTAATAGGCTAATACTGGTACATGAATATTAAATAGTATTTTGTTAAGATTTAGCTTTTGTTTTGACAGTGCTAGAGATGGAATGCAGAGCACTAACTGTGCCAAGTAACTGTTCTACCACTAAGCTGTACTTGTCCTTTGTCAATATCAGGATCCTGCTACATTGTAATTTCTGGGAAGAAGTCCCTTTGAGATTATTCTCCCAAGCCAATCCTGCCCCTAAGATTTGGGTATATTTTACAGTTTTGGGGAAGAAAGACCTCAGATAAAATACTATCTTAATCACATAGCGAGGGTATATCACTAAAATGGATTTGAAAAAAAAGGATATATTATCAAGCATGACTTAATCCTGTTGGTAATTGACTTAGGTCACTTGGCTAAGGTCTTATTTGCCAGATTTCTCCACTTATCTACTTATTTTCATTTTCAGACTATGCTTCATTGAAAGAATAGGGAGTTATACCACTTTTAAGGATAGATATCCACACAAGTTACTTGAAATTATGTTCAAAGAAATTTACCATGGATATCCCTATGGAGTTGACTGTGTTGATACTTTGGGTAATGATCTAGTAATGTTTTATTTTCTTCAAAGTATTATACAGCTTTAGCCACACCTGTAATCCCAGCACAGGGGAGGCTGAGGCAGAAGGGCTGAGAGTTTGAGACCAACATGGGTTACAAAGTGAGCACAAGGCCAACATAGTGAGTGTATGAACTGCACAGTGAGACCCTGTCTCAAAAAGTATTACACAGCTTTGATCATTGTGAAATTGATAACTAGCATATGTGGTATGCTAGTTATCAATTTATCAAAAATGGGTTCCCTAATGGGTGTACAGCTTTATTCACTGAACTGCTGGACGTTGAGGTTAAGATTAATTGGTAAACAGCATTTTTGTTCACCTCAATATACTCTGTCAAGCCTTGCATAATCCCCATATTTAAGATGTTTTTTTTCTTTCAGTTCTTTTTTTGTGTGTGTTGGGAATCAGACTCAGGACCTTGCACTTGCCAGGCAGGCTTTTTTTTTTTTTCTTCCCTTCTTGGTACTGGGGATCAAACTCACGACTGCCTGCTTACAAGGCAGGTGCTTATGCCACTGAGCTAAATCCCCAGCCCCAGTAGGTTTCTTTTTTAAAAAAAGGTTCCTTATAGGCAATATTAGAAATTCTGTTGGGGCTGGGGACTTAGCTCAGCGGCATAAGCGCCTGCTTTGCAAGCAGGCAGTCGTGAGTTCGATCCCCGGTACTGATAACGAAAAAGACAAAAAAGAAATTCTATTTGTCCTTTTTTTATGATTTGATTTTTGCTTACACTTTTGGCTTATTGTGTGTGTGTGTATGTGCACATGTGTGCTAAGGGTCGAACTCATGACCTTGCTCTTGCCACATAGGTACTTATGCTGCTGAGCTAAATCCCTAGCCCCTTCCCTTTTTTTGAATACCTCTTTTTATTTTATTTATTTATTTTTTGGGAGGGGTACCAGAGATTGAACTCATGACCTCACACCTGCCAGGGCAGGTGTTTATGCCGCTAAGCTAAACCCCTGGCCCTGAAAACCTCTATTTTTGAGTGGTTGTGGATTTATAGTACTACTTTTCAATTTTTTTTCTGGTACCAGGGATCACCAACTGCGCATTTGCAAGACAGGCACTTATGCCGCTGAGTTAACTGGGAATCTCACTTGCTAAGTAGCTCAGCTTGCCACTGAGCTATATCTCTGACCCTTGGCTTTCTTTTTGTTTTGTTTTTGTTTTTGTTTTTGTACTAAGGCAGGCACTTGTACTGCTAAGCAAAATCCCCAACGCCAAGCCAATTCAAGCCAATACCTCCTTGAGAAGTATTTTTCCTGTAGTTTTAATATGTAGTGTTTTTCCTTTCTGGCTTCAATTTGTATTTTCTACACTGAGCTGACAGCTCCCTTCTGTGACTCGCTGAACACCCATTATAAGTATTGTGGCACCTTGCATTCTCTTTTACCCAAGCAGCCCACTTCCACTGACAGCTGACTAAAGAGCTTCAGATATAGGGGCTGGGGATTTAGCTCAGTGGCATAAGCACCTTCCTTGCCAGCAGGCAGTCGTGAGTTCGATCCCCGGTACCGATAAAAAGGAAAAAGACAAAAAAAAAAAAAGAGCTTCAGCTGATAAATACTACCATAATACTGTCCCCAATAGTTAACGGAATATTGTGCTTTTCAGTAATATCTCAAAGTCAGGAGATTTTCAGGAAGATGGCAGAGTGGTAAACAAATGGTTTCTCTGAGATTTGGTGTCTAGAGGCTGAAATATAGCAACATGAGGAAAAGAAGAAGAGTAGGTCCCTGGGACCCTGCAGAGATCTGTAGAGAGAACTGAAGCCCATGGGGAACTTCCAGGTGAGTGGAGAAGGAAGAGGTGGCAAGATGTGCCGAATCCCAAAGCCCTGGCTCGCTGTGTGGGAAGGGTAACCTGAAGCTGCAGACACACATAACTGACTACTGGTGACCCCAGAGGCTTCCATAGAGAGACTGCAGCAGCTTGAGTTATTGGAGTTCAGACATCCCCCAGGAGTAGCCATCTTGGAGAGGAGCCAACCTAGCTCAGAACTCTAGTGATTCAGGGTCAGGGTGAAGCCTAGCCAGCCTCAAGCCAGCAGGAGGCCCTGAATGCTTTGGGATCCAGACTGCCAGTAACCAGCCTGAACTTTAGTGAAGGTAAAGATGCTGGCCTGCTGGGATTGTCCACTCCACTGGGCTTTGCTGCCCACTCGCTAGACTTAATATGGATCTGGGCTTTGTTTACCAATGACAGTAGAGACACATTTAAAATGGGCCTTTTTTCCCTATTGTTTGGTTTGGTTCGTTTTTTTCTTGATCTTGAGTGTTTTTTGCCTTTTTGAGACAGGGTCTCACTATGTAGTTCAGGCTGACTTTGAATTCGCAACAATCCCACATCAGCCTCCCAAGTGCTGGGATTACGGATATGCACCAGACACCTGGCTCTTTGAATCTTGATTTTATGGGTGTGAACGTTGTTTCTAGTTTTTTGTTGTTCAGTTTTTACTTGATTTCTCTGTTTCCTTCCTTTTTACTTTACCAGATTCACAAGAGTTGCATAATTTTTGTCCTCTCGCGTTACTTCTAGTCTCTTTCGCGTCTATTTTTCCCCCAATTCCTTTTAAATTTTCTTTCCTGAGAGTAAAATTACCATATTGACATAGTTGCTGTATACAGTTTTCTGGGGTTTTGGATTTTGTTATAACCACAAATACAGTTCTTATGGTTAAAGGTAGTAAATCGATAGTTGCCACAGCTTGTCATTTTCTAGGCTGTTCGTGATGCTAACATTTACGGTTGATTGTACTACTTTGGTTAATATGACATAATTGTTCTAATCAGCCATTCTGCTGTACCAAAGACAGATTATCTAAGAGTCATAAACAGTACTTATAGTATAAGCCAGTGCAGAAGAACCAGGACCTAGGCAAAATAGCCGGAAGCTTCTCATCCCCAATAAATTGAAGAGGACCTCGCAACAGACTCAAAACCCAAAAGCCAACTTTCACCTGGAAGACATCTCTTAAGGAGTATCATTTCCCAGTTCTAAATATTAGCAATAAAACTATTGCCATAAGGAATTTACATGTTATCAACCCAGGAAGTAAACTTAAAATAATAGAAAATGAAAAGATACTTAAACAAGATGCACCTTCAGACTTGCAGCTCA